TGACTAATTTATTTATTTCTGACCTTCTTTTTCTGACCCTTTATGATGGCCATAAATTTTTGGTATGGAAGAGGGGAAATGAAGAAATACATCAGGTCGAGCGGGTTAATTATGGAGGAAAAGTTGAGAATCCCTGACCATAGTTTGAGTTACTTGATTTGAGCTTCAAGAAGCTTTAAAATAATAGGTTGAAAATGTCCAGGGAAACAATGTATATGTACGTTACGAACAGGATAAGGGAGCTAGTTGACAGAGAGTTGGAGGGAGGAGGAAGATGGTAGGAATATTTTGGACGTGACAACCCATGGACGTGACAACCCATGGATGTGACAACCCATGTACGTGACAATCCATGGAGGTGAAAACCTATGGACGTGACAACCCATGGACGTGACAACCCATGGACGTGACAACCCATGGACGTGACAACCCATGGACGTGACAACCCATGGACGTGACAACCCATGGACGTGAAAACCCATGGACGTGACAACCCATGGACGTGAAAATCCGTGGACGTGACAACCCATGGACGTGAAAACCCATGGACGTGACAACCCATGGACGTGAAAACCCATGGACGTGACAACCCATGGACGTGAAAATCCATGGATATGACAACCAATTGATGCGAAAACCCATGCATGTGACAACCCATAGATATGAAAACCCATGGATGTGAAAACCCATGGACGTGACAACAATTGGACGTGAAAACCCATGGACGTAAAAACCCATGGATGTGTAAACGCATGGATGCGAAAGTTCATGGATGTTACAACCCATGGACATGTAAACACATAAATTTGAAAACCCATGGATGTGAAAATTCATGGATGTGAAAGCCCATGGGCGTGAAAACCCATGGACGTGACAACCAATGGAGGTGAAAACCCATGGAGGTGAAAACGCATGGATGTGAAAACCCATGGATGTGAAAACCCATGGACGTGACAACCCATGGACGTGACAACCCATGGACGTAAAAACCCATTGACGTGAAAACCCATTAATGTGTAAGCCCATGGATGTGAAAGCTCATGGATGTGACAACCCATTGACATGTAAACCCATTTACTTGAAAATCCATGGATGTGTAAACGCATGGATGTGAAAGCCCATGGACGTGAAAACCCATGTATGTGACAATCCATCGACATTTAAACCCATGGACTTGAAAACCAATGGATGTAAAAATCCAAGGACGTGAAAACCCATGGACGTGACAACCCATGGACGTGAAAACCTATGGACATGAAAGCCCATGGATTTGAAAACCCATTGATGTGAAAACCAATGGACGTGAACACCCATGGATGTGAAAACCCATGTAAGTGACAACCCTTGGATGTGAAAATCCACGAACGTGACAACCCACGGATGTGAAATCCTATGGATGTGATGAAAACCCATCGATGTGACAACCCATGGATATGGCAACCCATGGTCGTGACAATCCATGGATATGGCAACCCATAGACGTGAAAACCCATAGACATGACAACCCATGGATGTGACAACCCATGGACGTGACAACCCATGGACGTGAAAACCCATGTATGTAAAAATCCATGATCGTGACACCCATGGACCTGACAGCCCATGGATTGGAAAACCAATGGACGTGACAATCCATGGACGTGAAAACCCATGAATGTGACAACCCATGGACATGAAAAGCCATGGATATGAAAACTCAAGGACGTGACAACCCATGGACGTGAAGACCCGTGGATGTGGAAACCCATGGATATGAAAACCCATGGATGTGAAAACCCATGGATGTGAAAACCCATGGATGTGAAAACAAACGTATGTAAAAAGCCATGAACGTGACACCCCATGGACGTGACAATCCATGGACGTGACAGCCCATAGACGTGAAAACCCATGTATGTAAAACCCCATGAACGTGACAACCCATGGACCTGACAACCCATGGATGTCAAAACCCATGGACGTGAAAACCCATGGACATGACAACCCATGGATATGGCAACCCATGGATGTCAAAATCCATGGATGTGAAAACCCATAGATGGGAAAACCCATGGATGTGAAAACCCATGGATGTGAAAACCCATGGATGTGAAAACCCATGGCTGTGAAAACACATGGACGTGACAACTCAGGAACGTGACAACTCATAGACGTGATAACCCATGGACGTGACAACCCACAGGTGTGAAAACCCATGGATGTGAAAACCCATGGACGTGAAAACCCATGGCTGTGAAAACCCATGGATGTGAAAACCCATGGCTGTGAAAACCCATGGACGTGAAAACCCATGGACGTGACAACCCAAGGACGTGAAAACTCATGGACGTAAAAACCCATGGATGTGAAAACCCATGGATGTGAAAACCCATGGATGTGAAAACCCATGGATGTGAAAACCCATGGACGTGAAAACCCATGGCTGTGAAAACCCATGGCTGTGAAAACCCATGGATGTGAAAAACCATGGATGTGAAAACCCATGAATGTGAAAACCCATGGATGTGAAAACCCATGGATATGAAAACCCATGGACGTGACAACCCACGGACGTGACAACCCATAGACGTGACAACCCATGGACGTGACAACCCATGGACGTGACAACTCATGGACCTGACAACCCATGGATTTGGCAACCCATGGTCGTGAAAATCCATGGACGTGAAAACCCATGGCTGTGAAAACCCATGGATGTGAAAACCCATGGATGTGAAAACCCATGAATGTGAAAACTCATCGACGTGAAAACCTATGGGTATGGCAACCCATGGACGTGAAAACCCATGGATATGGCAACCCATGGACGTAAAAACACATCGGTATGGCAACCCATGGACGTGAAAACCCACGGATGTGAAAAACCATGGATGTGAAAACCCATGAATGTGAAAAACCATGGAAGTAAAAACCCATGGACGTGACAACCCATGAACGTGACAAACCCCATAGACGTGACAACCCATGAACGTGACAACCCTTGGACGTGACAACCCATGAACGTGACAACCCTTGGACGTGACAACCCATGGACGTGACAACCCACAGGCGAGAAAACCAATGTATGTAAAAACCCATGAAGGTGACAACTCATGGACGTGACAACTCATGGACCTGACAACCCATGGATTTCGCAACCCATGGTCGTGAAAACCCATGGATGTGAAAACCAATAGATGTGAAAACCCATGGATTTGAAAACCCATGGATGTGAAAACCCATGGACGTGAAAACCCATGGACGTGAAAACCCATGGCTGTGAAAACCAATAGATGTGAAAACCCATGGATGTGAAAACCCATGGATGTGATCACCCAATGGACGTGAAAACCATGGACGTGACAACCCATGGACGTGAAAAATCCATGGATATGGCAACCCATGACGTGAAAACCCACGGATGTGGAAAACTATGGATGTGAAAACCCATGAATGTGAAAACCCATGGATCTGAAAACCCATGGACGTGACAACCCATGAACGTTGCAACCCATAGACGTGACAACCCATGAACGTGATAACCCATGAGCGTGACGTCACAACCCATAGACGTGAAAACCCATGTATATAAAAATCCATGAACGTGATAACCCATGGACGTGACAACCCATGGATATGAAAACCCAAGGACGTGAAAACCCTTGGACGAGACAACCCATGGACGTGACAACCCATGGACGTGACAACCTATGGACGTGACAACCCATGGACGTGACAACCCATAGACGTGACAACCCATGGACGTGAAAACCCTTATACGTGAAAACCCATGTATGTGAAAACCCATGGATGTGAACGCCCCATGGACGTGACAACCCATGGACGTGAAAAATCCATGGATGTGGCAACCCATGGACGTGAAAACCCACGGATGTGGAAAACCATGGATGCGAAAACCCATGAATGTGAAAACCTATGGATCTGAAAACCCATGGACGTGACAACCCATGAACGTTGCAACCCATGGACGTGACAACCCATGAACGTGATAACCCATGAACGTGACAACCCATAGACGTGAAAACCCATGTATATAAAAACCCATGAACGTGATAACCCATGGACGTGACAACCCATGGTTATGAAAACCCATGTACGTGAAAACCCTTGGACGAGACAACCCATGGACGTGACAACCCATGGACGTGACAACCTATGGACGTGACAACCCATGGACGTGACAACCCATAGACGTGACAGCCCATGGACGTGACAACCCATGGACGTGACAACCCTTATACGTGAAAACCCATTTATGTGAAAACCCATGAACGTGACAACCCATGGACGTGACAACCCATATACGTGAAAACCCATGTCTGTGAAAACCCATGAACGTGACAAACTATGGACGTGAGAACCCTTTGACGTGAGAACCCATAGATGTGAAAACCCGTGGACGTGACAACCCATGGACGTAACAATCCATGGACGTGACAAATCATGGGCGTGACAACCCATGGACGTGACAACCCATGGACGTGACAACCCATGGACGTGACAACCATTGGACGTGACAACCCATGGACGTGACAACCATTGGAAGTGACAACCCATGGACGTGAAAACCCATGGACGTGACAACCCATGGACGTGACAACCATTGGACGTGACAACCCATGGACGTGACAACCCATGGACGTGGCAACCCATGGACGTGACAACCCATGGTCGTGACAACCCATTGTCGTGGAAGAAAGAAATAAATGTAGGGAGAAAAATTACAAAGTGTTTATTTAGAAAATAAAGTGCACATTAACGTAAAAGTGTTTATAAACGATTATTATAAATAAATTATTCGAGTTAGACGAGTTTTTTATATTATTACAAAATGTTATAAAACAATCAAGAAAATTTTTGTTAACAAGTTTTGAATATAAATGCCAGCATTTTTGTGGTATTTATTGTATTCTTTTAACACATTTTAGAATGTTACGGTAAACTTAATAATTTTGTCTAAACAGAAATCTTGACAAAATTTGTAATATGTCTTTCTTTAGTTGCAGATATTGTTGCTGGTCTACACATCACTAAGGTGACAGTGCCGACACCCGTTGCCGTGGGGGAAGGTGGGTGGCTGGAGTGCGAGTTTGTGGACGAGGGAGAGAGCATCTACGCCCTCAAGTGGTACTTGGGACTGGACGAGATCTACCGTTGGACTCCTGCGGAGAACCCGCCCATCAAGACCTTCCCGGTGAAAGGCGACCCTTTGACTGTGGACACAGCCGCCTCAAACAGAGGCAAAGTTCGCATCAACGACGTGACACTAGGCGCGTCAGGGGTCTTCCGCTGTGAAGTGTCTGCTGAGGCACCGGACTTTCACACCGAGTCTGAAGTTGCCACTATGACTGTTGTGGGTGAGAATCATAAGTCCAAGTCAGTGCAACACATCAGGGACACTTGTGAGGCTGAACATGTGTATTTTAGAAATGTGAGGGAGTGTATTGGGTGTCTTTCATGTTATAGGGAAAATGGTTTACCTATTTTTCATGGGTTATACCAGTGGAAAACTACAAATAAACAGCAAACTGTATTCTGTACGGCAGCAGCACGTGCATGTTACCATCCTCCTTCCAGAGTAATCATCACTATACAACAGTTCTCAACAGTTAAAGACGGGATATTACCATTTCACCAGATTTAGTTAAAAAACCAGCCTCTCTATGTGAAGTTTGCGAATGCGTATATATACACACATATATATATATATATATATATTTATATATATAATAGATTATATATTATATATTTATATATTTCCATATAGTATATACATATTATATCTATACTAGTATCATAATATATATATATATATATGCAATGAGACACTGTAACGTGATTCAGATATGCAACACATCTAAGTATCAGAGCAAATCCAAACGCTTTCGTGAACTATCACATTATGAAGAACTTGATATTGAGTAGTCAACGAAAGCTGCTTGAATTTCATTCTTTCAGAGGTTGTTTTCTGCATATATTATGTCTTATATATATATGATATATTTAGCATACTATACGTTCTAATAATGAGTATCAATTGATACTATATTGACCTATATTTATATTCTATTATATGATAATTATTTTGATATAATGATATATATTACTGAGTTTTCTATCGTTGCCATAGTTAACTTCTTCACTAGACTAACCACTAAAATCATTATCACGACTAGCTACTCTACATCTTCAGTTTATCCAGGGCAACCTCAGCTCCCTAGTAACCTAGTCACAATGTACTTGACAGCCTATTTTAGTGCTAACGACAGTCTTATGTCACTGTTTTTTTCCTCCTCATCTATGTCGTTTATATACAGAATATTGTGCGCAACAAGCGTTCTAAAACTGAGTTCAGTGGAACACTACTTGCAGCGGGGCCTTATTCTGATTTCTCCCCATTTATGCAAACTCTATTTCCTATCGGTCAGGCATATCTCCTTCCTAGAGATTTTTCCTATTCTGTGTGCCACTACTTTCTTCAACAGTCTCCAAACGCCTTACTAAAATTATTATTCACGATAGCGTATTAATCTTCATTTACCGACTCGAATACTTAGCATACATTTACATGGCGTTGAATCTTCTTTGTAAAACCGTCGTAACATTAATAATTCACATGTGCTGAGATCCATTGATCATATATATTTCAAGGAGGCTTTAAGCTGTGTCCTCATTTACTGATCCTATTAACTTGCCCACAATTATAGTTGTGTTAATTGGTTTACAATCTGAAATAAACACCAAACGTCCAATTTCCAAATAGGTATCACTTTTACCATTTGTAGAATAGGAATCACATTTAGTATTTGTAAATAGGAATCACATTTACCATTTGTAAATAGGGATCACATTTACCATTTGTAAATAGGTATCACTTTACCGTTTTTACACTAATCAGGAACACTACCCGTTTATAGCAGTGTGTCGAAGAGCCCAGCCATTGACTTACTAAATTCCTCCAAACTTTCTAGTTTGATTTCACCATTTATTTGCCATAGGATCATGCCACTAGTGCCTCTGATCTTGCTTAATTTATTTTCGTAATTACTGATTTCTGGAACTTATTTAAGTCCTCTTATGCAAAAAACAGATAGGAATTAAGTGTTAAAAATGGCGCAATAAGAGTTAGCTGACATGTTAAATTGAAGCTAGCTCATCTTTCCCCTATTCAAATTCCTATTTACTTGCAAGAAACCCTTTGAGATGGTCTTTGATTCCCTCACAATCTTAATTTTTCGTCCCATCTGATTTCCTTTTACTGATTTATTGGTCTACTAACGTGATCCTCTTTCTTGATTCGACCGGACATGTCCATCTTAATACCCATAAGAAACTTCAGATTACCATTTATCCCTAATAGAAGTAGTTGCCACCTGGGAGACCATCTAGATGCTTTAGACAATGTCATAGTCACGACCACCTCCACCTTCCTCTAGATCACCAGCTTTGATAATACTCAGTCAAGTTACCCTGTCTACACTGCTCAAGTCAACCTTAAGCAGCAGGAAAATCAGGGACATCAACCTTATTATCGTTATATAGGTAACTCCAAGAGATAAAGAAACTAAGTGATTTATGATCGCTTCCTCCAAGCTCTTCAATAACCTTAAGATTATTTATCAGAGATTCTTTATTTGCTATAATCTGTTGACTGTGTCGCAAACGTTTTAAAAACCAATCTTCGAATATTTTTTTTAGAAACCACGCCACGGGTGGTGATTGAACTCGCGGCTAGTGAGCCTTAAAACTCCAGACCGACAAGTTAGCTACTGGGCCAGTTGGCTACAATAAGATTCATCCAACTAGGTATATTTAAACACCATAGGAAGGTTAACATCGGCTCCATAGAGACGTACCAATTCCCATGGAAGTAGCAACGGTTTTCAGTCGATGGAATTACAAGTTGAAACTAGTCAGCTGAAACTAGTCAATTGCCTTCTTGTTTCTGTTTTCCCACTACCTACCGCCCCTGTACGGACATCAGTGCTTCCAACAGTTTTTACTGCTGTGTCAACATTGTTTCTTTTTGTTCCATGTCCAGCAGTATCGCTACTTTGTACCTCTGGAATTTGTATAACGTTGTCTTTGTTTCATCACCAGGGTCACTATGTCCATTTGGTGCAGTGTCCTCCAGGACAACACCAGCACCTCTGGAACACTTAGACGCCCATTCACAACTTAGATCTCTTCTAAACAATGGAAACATAAACACTTCAGCAGTATAATGTGATCCTTTATTGACAACGATCTGTTTGTGACTTGATAAAGCCCACTGCGTGGGCGAAACGTTGCTTAAGTGTTTATATTTCCATTGTGTCGGTATTTTATACCATTAATTTCTCTTACAGGCAAACCATTACGTATCACCCGGTTTTCTCCCTTTGACCTAATTAAATCCAAAACTATCCTATACTTGACAACCAGGTTTTCATTAATATCACTGCCTCCTGCACTGAGATAGACAATGGAATTGTTAAAATTACCTGACATGAAGTTATAATTCCTGCAAATTATATCACTTGTACTGACGCCTGGAAAACACGTACACTGCCTAGCCCTCCTGCCCTTGTTACTGAAGGCTCGGCCTATATATCTAATTTGTGAGTCCCCTGTAATGAGCACATTTTTTTTTTAGAGGAGGTAGGCCTACTTTTGTTATTAGAGGCTGCTCTATCTTTGTTATTAGAAGTAGGCCTACTTTTGTTATTAGAGGTGGCAAGCCTCCTTTTTGTAATTAGAGGAGAAAGGCCTTTGTTATTAAATAGGCCTATTTTTATTAGATGTAGGCCTATTTTTATTATAAGTAGGCTTACTTTTGTAATTAAAGGAGGCAGCCCTACTTTTATTATAGGTAGGCGTACATTTGTGATTAGAGATAGGCCTACTTTTCTTATTAGGGGTAGCTGTACCTTTGTTATTACAGGCTTACTTTTGTTATTAGAGGCAGCAGCCTACTTTTGTTATTAGAGAAGAAAGGCATTGGTTGTTAGAGGAGATGGGCCCACTTTTACTATTAGAGGGGGGATGGATGTTGTTATGAGAGGAGGTTAGGCCTAATTTAATTAGTAGGGGGAGTAGACCTACTTTTATTCTCACCGACCACTGGAGATTCATCCTGTAATGCAGCGGTGTTTCATTCACGAGTTTTTATATACCACACACAAAAAAATCTCATAAATTTGCACTAATATCTCTTCGGGAAGGTTACTGGAGCAGTGAGACAAGGGGAGGGTGGAGAGGCTGGAAGTCTGGTGTTGGGTGGGTTACTGGAACAGTGAGACAAGGGGAGGGTGGAGAGGCTGGGAGTCTGTGTTGGGTGGGTTACTGAACAGTGAGACAAGGGGAGGGTGGAGAGGCTGGGAGTCTGGTGTTGGGTGGTTACTGGAACAGTGAGACAAGGGGAGGGTGGAGAGGCTGGGAGTCTGGTGTTGGGTGGGTTACTGGAACAGTGAGACAAGGGGAGGGTGGAGAGGCTGGAAGTCTGGTGTTGGGTGGGTTACTGGAACAGTGAGACAAGGGGAGGGTGGAGAGGCTGGGAGTCTGGTGTTGGGTGGGTTACTGGAACAGTGAGACAAGGGGAGGGTGGAGAGGCTGGAAGTCTGGTGTTGGTGGGTTACTGGAACAGTGAGACAAGGGGAGGGTGGAGAGGCTGGAAGTCTGGTGTTGGGTGGGTTACTGGTAACAGTGAGACTTGGGGAGGGTGGAGAGGCTGGGAGTCTGCTTTTGGGTGGGTTACTGAAACAGTGAGACTTGGGAGGGTGGAGAGGCTGGGAGTCTGGTGTTGGTGGGTTACTGGAACAGTGAGACTTGGGGAGGGTGGAGAGGCTGGGAGTCTGGTGTTGGGTGGGTTACTGGAACAGTGAGACTTGGGGAGGGTGGAGAGGCTGGGAGTCTGGTGTTGGGTGGGTTACTGGAACAGTGAGACTTGGGGATGGGTTGGAGAGGCTGGGAGTCTGGTTTTTGGGTGGGTTACTGAAACAGTGAGACTTGGGGAGGGTGGAGAGGCTGGGAGTCTGGTGTTGGGTGGGTTACTGGAACAGTGAGACTTGGGGAGGGTGGAGAGGCTGGGAGTCTGGTGTTGGGTGGGTTACTGAAACAGTGAGACTTGGGGAGGTGGAGAGGCTGGAGTCTGGTGTTGGGTGGGTTACTGGAACAGTGAGACTTGGGGAGGGTGGAGAGGCTGGGAGTCTGGTGTTGGGTGGGTTACTGGAACAGTGAGACTTTGCGAGGGTGGAGAGGCTGGGAGTCTGGTGTTGGGAGGGTTCCTGGAACAGTGAGACAAGGGGAGGGTGGAGAGGATGGGAGTCTGGTGTTGGGTGGGTTACTGGAACAGTGAGACAAGGGGAGGGTGGAGAGGATGGGAGTCTGGTGTTGGGAGGGTTACTGGAACAGTGAGACTTGGCGAGGGTGGAGAGGATGGGAGTTTGGTGTTGGGAGGGTTACTGGAACAGTGAGACAAGGGGAGGGTGGAGAGCTTGGTGTCTGGTGTTGGGAGGGTTACTGGAACAGTGAGACAAGGGAAGGTGAAGAGGATGGAGTCTGGTGTTGGGAGGGTTACTGGAACAGTGAGACTTGGCGAGGTGGAGAGGCTGGAGCCCTGGTGTTGGGAGGGTTACTGAACAGTGAGACAAGGGGAGGGTGGAGAGGCTGGGTGGCCTGGTGTTGGGTGGTTACTGGAACAGTGAGACTTTGCGAGGGTGAGAGGCTGGAGTCTGGTGTTGGGAGGGTTCCTCGAACAGTGAGACAAGGGGAGGGTGGAGAGGATGGGAGTCTGGTGTTGGGTGGGTTACTGGAACAGTGAGACAAGGGGAGGGTGGAGAGGATGGGAGTCTGGTGTTGGGAGGGTTACTGGAACAGTGAGACAAGGGGAGTGTGGAGAGGCTGGGTGTCTGGTGTTGGGTGGGTTACTGGAACAGTGAGACTTGGCGAGGGTGGAGAGGCTGGGAGTCTGGTGTTGGGAGGGTTACTGGAACAGTGAGACAAGGGGAGGGTGGAGAGGCTGGGTGTCTGGTGTTGGGTGGGTTACTGGAACAGTGAGACAAGGGGAGGGTGGAGAGGCTGGGTGTCTGGTGTTGGGAGGGTTGCTGGAACAGTGAGACAAGGGGAGGGTGGAGACGCTGGGTGTCTGGTGTTGGGTGGGTTACTGGAACAGTGAGACTTGGCGAGGGTGGAGAGGCTGGGAGTCTGGTGTTGGGAGGGTTACTGGAACAGTGAGACAAGGGGAGGGTGGAGAGGCTGGGAGTCTGGTGTTGGGTAGGTTACTGGAACAGTGAGACAAGGGGAGGGTGGAGAGGATGGGAGTCTGGTGTTGGGAGGGTTACTGGAACAGTGAGACAAGGGGAGCGTGGAGAGGCGGGTGTCTGGTGTTGGTGGGTTACTGGAACAGTGAGACTTGGCGAGGGTGGAGAGGCTGGGAGTCTGGTGTTGGGAGGGTTGCTGGAACAGTGAGACAAGGGGAGGGTGGAGAGGCTGGGTGTCTGGTGTTGGGTGGGTTACTGGAAAAATGAGACTTGGCGAGGGTGGAGAGGCTGGGAGTCTGGTGTTGGGAGGGTTACTGGAACAGTGAGACAATGGGAGGGTGGAGAGGATGGGAGTCTGGTGTTGGGTGGGTTACTGGAACAGTGAGACAAGGGGAGGGTGGAGAGGCTGAGAGTCTGGTGTTGGGTGAGTTACTGGAACAGTGAGACAAGGGGAGGGTGGAGAGGCTGGTGTCTGGTGTTGGGTAGGGTTACTGGAACAGTGAGACAAGGGGAGGGTGGAGAGGCTGGGTGTCTGGTGTTGGGAGGGTTGCTGGAACATTGAGACAAGGGGAGGGTGGAGAGGCTGGGTGTCTGGTGTTGGTGTGGGTTACTGGAACAATGAGACTTGGCAAGGGTGGAGAGGCAGGGAGTCTGGTGTTGTGGAGGTTACTGGAACAGTGAGACAAGGGGAGGGTGGAGAGGATGGGAGTCTGGTGTTGGGTGGGTTACTGGAACAGTGAGACAAGGGGAGGGTGGAGAGGCTGGGAGTCTGGTGTTGGGTGGGTTACTGGAACAGTGATACAAGGGAGGGTGGAGAGGCGGGGAGTCTGGTGTTGGGTGGGTTTACTGGAACAATGAGACTTGGGGTAGGGTGGAGAGGATGGGAGTCTGGTGTTGGAGGGTACTGGAACAGTGAGACTTGGGGGGGTGGAGAGGCTGGGAGTCTGGTGTTGGGTGGTTACTGGAACAGTGAGACTTGGGAGGGTGGAGAGGCTGGGAGTCTGGTGTTGGGTGGGTTACTGGAAACAATGAGACTTGGGGAGGGGAGAGGATGGGAGTCTGGTGTTGGGAGGGTTACTGGAACAGTGAGACTTGGGGAGGGTGGAGAGGCTGGGAGTCTGGTGTTGGGTGGGTTACTGGAACAGTGAGACTTGGGGAGGGTGGAGAGGATGGGAGTCTGGTGTTGGGAGGGTTACTGGAACAGTGAGACTTGGGGAGGGTGGAGAGGCTGGGAGTCTGGGTGTTGGGTGGGTTACTGGAACAATGAGACTTGGGAGGGTGGAGAGGATGGGTGTCTGGTGTTGGGGGTTACTGGAACAGTGAGACTTGGGAGGGTGGAGAGGTGGGAGTCCTGGTGTTGGGTGGGTTACTGGAACAATGAGACTTGGGGAGGGTGGAGAGGCTGGGAGTCTGGTGTTGGGTGGGTTACTGGAACAGTGAGACAAGGGGAGGGTGGAGAGGCTGGGTGTCTGGTGTTGGGTGGGTTACTGGAACAGTGAGACAAGGGTAGGGTGAGAGGCTGGGAGTCTGGTGTTGGGTGGGTTACTGGAACAGTGAGACAAGGGGAGGGTGGAGAGGCTGGGAGTCTGGTGTTGGTGGGTTACTGGAACAGTGAGACAAGGGGAGGGCGGAGAGGCTGGGTGTCTGGTGTTGGGTGGTTACTGGAACAGTGAGACAAGGGGAGGGTGGAGAGGCTGGGAGTCTGGTGTTGGGTGGGTTACTGGAACAGTGAGACAAGGGAGGGTGGAGAGGCTGGGAGTCTGGTGTTGGGTGGGTTACTGGAACAGTGAGACAAGGGGAGGGCGGAGAGGCTGGTGTCTGGTGTTGGGTGGGTTACTGGAACAGTGAGACAAGGGGAGGGTGGAGAGGCTGGGTGTCTGGTGTTGGGTGGGTTACTGGAACAGTGAGACAAGGGGAGGGTGGAGAGGCTGGGCGTCTGGTGTTGGGTGGGTTACTGGAATAGTGAGACAAGGGGAGGGTGGAGAGGCTGGGTGTCTGGTTGTTGGGTGGGTTACTGGAACAGTGAGACAAGGGGAGGGTGGAGAGGCTGGGAGTCTGGTGTTGGGTGGGTTACTGGAACAGTGAGACAAGGGGAGGGTGGAGAGGCTGGGTGTCTGGTGTTGGGTGGGTTACTGGAACAGTGAGACAAGGGGAGGGTGGAGAGGCTGGGAGTCTGGTGTTGGGTGTGGTTCTGGACAGTGAGAAGGTGGAGGGTGACGAGGTGGATTGGATGATTGTGGGTTAACTGGAAAGGAGACAAGGGGAAATTGAGATTATAGAAATTAGCTGGGATTGAAATCTGTTTTTGTTTGGGTGTGGTTCTGGAGGGACAGTGGGTGAGGGTGGGTGTGGGGTGTGGTGATGGGGGTGTGGTGTTGGAGGTGTGAGTGATGGAGGGAGGGTGATGGAGGGTGTGAGTATGAGAGTGTGGGTGATGAGGTGTGAGTGTTGGATGTGTGTGGGTGATGAAAAGGGTGTGAGTAGATGGAGGGTGTGGGTGTTGGAGGGTGTGGTGATGGAGGGTGTGAGTGATGGAGGGTGTGGGTGATGGAGGGTGTGAGTGTTGGAGGGTGTGGGTGATGGAGTGTGTGAGTGATGGAGGGTGTGGGTGATGGAGGGTGTGGGTGATGGAGATGTGTGGGTGATGGAGGTGTGAGTGTTGGAGGGTGTGGGTGATGGAGGGTGTGAGTGATGGAGGGTGTGGGTGATGGAGAGTGTGTGTGGTGGAGGGTGTGGGTGTTGGAGGGATGGGGTGATTGATTGTATATCAGTGAAAGAGAAAGTGTGGGGTAATTTTGAGGAAGGTTGAGTGGAAGGTGTAGGAAAGACAGGGATGAGAAGGCAGGAAGATGGGTAGTGTTGGTGGTATAGGGGGAGGGTAGTGTTTGTTTTGATAGGGGGAGGGTAGTATTGGTGGTGATAGGGGAGAGAAGTGTTGGTGGTGATAGGAGGGTAGTGTTTGGTGATAGGGGGAGGGTAGTGTTGGTGGTGATAGGGAGAGGGTAGTGTTGGTGGTGATAGAGGGAGGGTAGTGTTGGTGGTGATAGGGGGAGGGTAGTGTTGGTGGTGATGGGAGGAGTGTTGGTGGTAATAGAGGGAGGGTAGTGTTGGTGGTAATAGGGGGAGGGATATTGGTAGAGAGGTGTCCAAGGTCGTGAGAGAAATGGAATTATAAATTATATAAAGAACTGTGAGAAAAAACTGGTCCTATGAGATGGAGTGAAGATAAAATCTTAGTGAAACCGAAATTACATCCGTTGAAAATTAAAGTCTTGGAAAAAATTCTCGTAAACAGTTCTCAGCAGAGACTGATCAGGAAGAAGGTTTATTCGCCATTGCGTAAAAGGAGAGGTAACCATACAGAAGAAAAATCCACTACTGTAGCACATTATAACACCTCCAAATATCACATTACAGGCAGATTTTCTTTAGCCACATTTTTCTCGTTCATTGTTACTGGGTTTACACAAATAACCCAACTTGGACCATTATCTAGTCACACTAGTTAATGGTCCAACTCAGACCGAAACATCGTCATAAGTTTCATTCTTTTATGTGAGGATTAGTTGTGTAATGTTCCAGTCACGGCATTGTGCCTTTAAATTCGATATTGACTTTGTTCACTAAGGAGTCCCCACCATCAATTAACGGATGTCTTAATCAAAAACATTTAACCCGTCAATTGACATTCTGACGTTTGTGTCAGCAGGTGTTAACAAGCACACTCAATGCTTCCTTACAGACCTACCAGATGAGGATCCCAGGATCAGCGGAGTTGGGTCCAACCACCAGCTACACCAGGAAGTGCTGGTGAACTGCTCATCCCCGAGGTCTCAACCTCCAGCCTCCCTCACCTTCTACGTCAACCAGGAGCTGGTAACCTCTCTCCCCTCCACCACCAGTACGTGGTTATATAATGGGAAAGTGGCGCTCTCGATGCGCCCTAAAGACGAGCAGCAGCTGTACAGAGTTCGACAGATGTAGCTGTTTGGGCCTCAAAATTCTACAGAAATCATCACTACGTGATGTATTTTTGTAGATTGAGGATCGAGCATACACTCCTCACCCACGGTCAACTGTTGGAAGGAATTTCTGCTCCTCTCTGTACAGCTCGCAGTCTGCCACTGATTGTGACTCTCTTTTAATAACAACATTATTCTCCTCCCACGATAGATTATTTATGTTTTATAATGGAAGAATTGTCTGTAGAGACGTCGGTGGCATTTTAGGGGGTAAACTAATGTGATCAAAAGAATGAGCTTTATAAATATTAAAGATTTTATCTTTATGTGATGTTATTTATTATTTTAATGGGTTTTGTATAGGGGTTTTGTATGAGGTTTTGTATGTATGAGTTGGATGTGAACTGTAATTATACAGAGTGATTTGTAAATCCTTCAGTTTGCGTAGAATTTCACCTCTACCTTCTCCATCATTTCACACTGTTCATTATCACAAGCAATATCGTCACGACATTTCCTCTGCCACTTTTTACTACTCATTGTCACCTTCGTAACTCCTCCAAATCCAATTTGTACTGAAACGAAGTGAAAAACGACGAAGTGGTAAACGAGTCCAGGCTGGGGTTTAGAGGTCAGGCGACAAAGCCATTATAATTCTATTCCCAGAGTATGAATTCGTTAGTAAAGGGAAGGAAGGGAATCATAAGTAAAGGAATAATTACCTCAGTCATTAATTAATACTGCCACCACTTGCCCTCATTATTGCGAGTTTAAAAGAAGAGAAAATACAGTTCCAGCATAAGGAAGATTTTGTGAGAGCAGGAAACATCAACACGAGTCATATATTATATGACCATAGAGAGACAGACACCCACATCCTTATAGACGGTACTTGAAATTTCTCTGCAGTGCTAGAGGAGTTCTGAAAATAACATTCTGTGAGCACAGTGTATATTACAAACACAGGTAAAGAATGGTCTGTGAGACCTGGTCGTAATGGGAATGTGGAGCAAACAAAACTCAACAGTAGACTATAATGTATACATACCTGTACATACCTGTATATATCACTAAATGATATATACAGGTATGTACACTATGTACAGATAGAATAGTAAGTGCGCACCACGGTGACAGATGGCAAAGCCAGAGAGTGTTCACCGTGCTCAATCAGCAGCTAGGCAAGTCTGTCAATGCTTACCAAAAGTGAACCACGTTGCTTCAGCTTTGGTGGCCTTGCCTGTTATTGGCCAATGAACCAAGGTACCGATTTAATGATGAGTACCCTATTGATTATTAAATCCTTAGTACCCGGTTCGCTGGTTGGGAGGCAGCCTGGGAGTGTGACATTCGCCGAATAAATTGTAACATACTCTTTGCATGCTACCCCATCCCCCTTCCCCGAAAAAGGGCTCCATTATCAGGGACTAGGTCTCCACCTCCATGGGTAGCATGCTGCCATAGCACTGAACAATGAAGGAACCGCCTTTCCTTTTGACCATCCAACTCATTAGATAGGGCTCAACCTTTTTTCGAGACTCAAAGTCAAACTCTATCCCAGAGCGAGACAGCAGACAGTAGGGCTAACATTGGTTCAAGACACCTGTAGATGGCAGCAGAATGCCCCTTCACTAAAAAGAAAAAAAAGACGTATTCATAAAGGGGGAAAAAAAGAGCTAAGCTACCCACATGATCCCTAACACATCCTAACCTATACACTTAAAGAGTGTCCGTCAGCATATTTTCCTTGCCAGCAATATGTATGACTCTAATGCTCAAGGATTGCAGCCTGAGACTCCATCTCATCAGACATATGTTGTGGTTGTTCTTGGTGTTTAGATAGAGTAGAGGATTGTGATCGCTGTAGACTGTGACCACAAGGAGACCTCAGAATGTTTCAGTACGAGTATCAGAGCTAGGGCTTCTTTCTCCATGGTGGCATAAGCTTTTTGGTGAGCTAGATACTTGGCAGAGAAGTAAGTGACAGGCTGCAACCACTCTTCTCCAGATTTCTGTAGGAGTGCAGTCCCCACCCATGACTCGCATACATCAATCTGTAACTCAAAAGGTTTTGAAAAATCTGGAGACAGGAGAATTGATGCAGTACAGAGTAGTCGTTTGACTTTGTTAAATGCTTCTTGACATTCTGGGGTTCAGCGAAACTGCTTTTTCTGACTAGTGAAGTTAAGGGGGATACAACATCTGCAAAGTTTATACTGAAGCACTATAGAAACCTACCATCCCTAAAAAACACTGGAGGGATTTCCTATAATAAGGAACTAGGTAATTCTTAATGGGAATTTTTTTTAGCAAATTTAGGGGCTACTTTACTACAACCCACTTCATGGCCCAATAAAATATTAGTAGACTGGCCAAAGGATGACTTACACAAATTAACAGTTAACTGATAACTTAAAATTCTCAAAGAGATCCTTAAGTCAGGAAACATGTTGGTCCCATGTAATGGAAGCAACTGCTATATCATCCAGATAAGCTGTTGTCCCTTCAGATCCTTTATTAGCCTGATGGATTAGCCTCTGGAAAGTGGCTGGCAAGTTCAGCATTCCGTATGGGGTCATGTACATTGATAGTGACCTCTTGGAATTATGAAGGTAATGAATGTCCTGTGAGACCTGGTCGTAATGGGAATGTGGAGCAAACAAAACTCAACAGTAGGCTATAATGTATAATTGCCTTCACCAGATGATGCATACAGGAATTTACACTATGTACAATATGTACAAGTCTGTCAATGCTTATCACAAGTGAACCACATTGCTTCAGCTTTGACGGGCTTGTCTGTGATTGGCAAATGAACCAAGATAATGATTTAACAACAGGTACTCTACTGATTGTTAAACCCTTAGCACCTTGTTCGCTGATTGGGAAGCAGCCTATACGGAGAGTGTGACATACGCTGAATAAATTGTAACATACTCTTTCCATGCCACAGCTTGTCACAGCAAGTAGCTTCTATTTTCAAGGGCCACCAGTCGCTACTAAGCCTATTTAAAATAATCTAGTTTAGCTACAGAATTAAAAAAAAACTAATAATACTGTACGAAAAAATCCAGTGGAACCTCGGTTTTCCTTTGCCATGGTTTTCATCGAATTCAGTTTTCGACAATTTTTTTTTGTCAAAATATTGTCCCACTTTTTGTTCATCACCTCGGTTTTCGTTTGCTGAACCGAACGTGTCCGTCTGCCCCTTCCCAAACATAGCACCCCACACATGCACACTGAGTCAGTCTGGCTTTGTTTCTCATCGAGTGGGCATTACCCTGAGCATTCATACAAAACATTTCAAAATAATCCATTGTTTTTTTGTGCTTGTTTATTGAGTGTGATTGCTAAAGCCACCATAGGGCCAAAGAAAGTTTTGAGTGCCAGCCCTTTGATAGAAAAGGCGAGAAACACTATAGAATTCAATGGTGGTAGAGGGTGATAGTGATGGTGGTAGACGGTGGTAGTGATGGTGGTAGAGGGTGGTAGTGATGGTTGTAGAGGGTGGTAGTGATGGTGGTAGAGAGTGGTAGTGATGGTGGTAGAGGGTGGTAGTGATGGTGGTACAGGGTGGTAGTGATGGTGGTAGAGTGTGTTAGTGATTGTGGCAGAGGGTGGTAGTAATGTGTGGTAGAGTGTGTTAGTGATTGTGGCAGAGGGTGGTAGTGATGGTGGTAGAGGGTGTTAGTGATTGTGGCAGAGGGTGGTAGTGATGGTGGTAGAGGGTGTTAGTGATTGTGGCAGAGGGTGGTAGTGATGGTGGTAGAGGGTGTTAGTGATTGTGGCAGAGGGTGGTAGTGATGGTGGTAGAGTGTGTTAGTGATTGTGGCAGAGGGTGGTAGTGATGGTGGTAGAGATAACCTCTCCTCCCTCTCCCTTCCTTGCCATCTTTCATATGCCAACAAGAGTCTTCAGTAAAGGTAAGAGTGATTTAAATGTTCATTTATCCATTTCACTATTGCTTTATATTTATTTCTCATTTTTTTCTGTATGTAAAACTATAGTTATTCTCTATAAAATGTTTTATGTTAATATTTATGGTTGTCTGGAACGGATTAATTGAATTTACATTATTTCTTATGGGAAACATTGCTTCAATTTTCATTGAATTCGGTTTTCGTCAGACTCTTTGGAACGAATTGTAGACGAAAACCGAGGCAAACACATTTATGAGATATATTTTAAATGAACATCAGAATACGTAATATAAAACTACAAACAGGAATGTAAGACATAAAAGTATATAGGCTAGCATGAGAACATGAGAAGGTAGAAGATTAGACACAGAAAGATATATAAATATATAATATAGCACAAGTGTAAAGCAGGTTAAGTCATCAGACGTAAGTCAGAACATAATGAGAGAAATATGAAAATAGATCCATAAAACACAGTTGAAGAGAATAAGAAAAAAAGCATTGGAATGAGAGGTGAAATAGGTTAAGTGATAGGCAAGAATGAGCTTGGTTAACTTATAATGAACACATAGAGGGGACAAGAGCTAGGTTAAGCAACCAATCTTAAGATAAATTAACAGTTAATATGACAATAACAGTTAATATGACAACAAAAAGATAACATTCTAAAATGATTAGGCTAGGCTAAGTTACCATAGGCCAAAGTCACAGTGTCACAATATAGAAATTTCTCTATCTTTTTTTGCCTATTTACTGTTTTCACCATATATCAGTGTGTTACTCCCCCCCCCCCCTTCCCAAGACTGACTCAAAATGTGCTTTCCAATATGCATTTAATAATGAAAAATCTTTTAGATTTTTTTTTTAAATAGAACGTATACATTTACTTGGAGAATTTTTTATATTGGAATTTTACAAATTTAATAACAATAGAAAATGCTGATGGAATTTAATTCCTGAATTAAAGTATTCTTTTAAATATTCATAACTAATTACTTACCAGACTAAAGTTACTGAAG